GAGATGCTCAGGACAATAAGGTTTTACGGCGACGACCGCGCCATAACCAGAGCGTGGGACGACCTCCAAGGAGTAAGTCGAGATCGGATAAACATCGTCTACGTTTTCGTTAAAGGCGTTTTTGAGTACGACATATTTAATATCCTTTTTCTCGTTTCAGCTACACTGTTGTGGAGTCACGGGCTACGATGACTGGAGGCAGCACAGGATTGGCGGAATCATTCCCAGCAGCTGTTGTCAAGAGATCAACGGAAAGGTGAGAATTGAGTGTATCATAGTGTATCATGTAAATGTGCAGTCAAATTAACAATCGTATTGAAAAAATAAAATAATGTTATAGTTTCGAGGAGAGGGGGTGGTGAGCTGGTTGAGGGACTGGAGTCCTTCCATGATTTAAATTTTCTACTTTTCTGTGAACGTATTACGTAAGAGTGTAAGACGTAACCATGTATTAAAATTGTAATTTGTATTTAAGAATTTTGTAGAGTAACAATGTTAAATTCTACAAAAATAAATAGATTATAATAATAATATAAAAATTTAATTATTATAATTTATTCTACATAAGCAAGAGATATGCTCATATGCGTGTCCGTTTTTATATTTATTTTGTGTCACCACCCAACTATTTGATGACAATAAACAACTGTTGATCGTTATATAAAACCAACCCAATAATTACATCGCAATACGTTATCAATTCGAATATAAAATCTGCAGAGATTAACCATCGATTTGTGTACTTTATTTAAATATTTAGCATGTGTGCAGTGAAGATTAACACAATTTTCCATTTTGTTACTGATTTAGAACTAATTTTTACTTTATCAAATATTTACGTTTAAACAATATTGTGTCATACATATTTAAGCATATAGGAACCTGTTTAATGTTTACACTATTTTGAAACTTTTCAATGATTGAGTAAATATAGTTCACATACAATTTATACATTATACACACTGCAGTCGAATAGGAAATACAATTATTTAAAATTTAAGTTTTTCCTTCAAATAGTTAAGGGAACATGCATTCTTTAGCCCTCTCTCATCATAATTATACACATATATAACTGGTGACATAATCATGAGCACTTTTTAATAGAAACAACCGTGCAATCTGCGTTTCCAAGCGAGCCTACAGATATACAATACCGGCTGTCTGAACGTGACCACTGCTTTCATGAAGGACCACGCGACTACTTTCGGGACTGTTGGTATAGCCGTGTCACTGTTTCTAGTACGTATATAATATTTTAATATTTAAACTCTTTAAGATCTTAATAGAAATTACAATTTGAAACATATCTTTAGTACACATAACATTCACAGATTATTTGGTGACTTAACTTGTTTGTAGCAAAAATTTAGATTTTTTTTCGTACCTATATAAAGGTGTCAAAACATGATTTTTAAAAAAACATGACTTAACTCCTTTTGACCGCGTATCAAAGACATAGACTCAGATCTTAGAGTCGTTTTAGTTATGCAATATGTATGTTTACATGTTTCAACACGTCACATATTATAGGCAAACGTGCGGGGCAAAGTGGACACATTTATGTTTGATAGGTTATAGGTAAGTACCTAAACTCAAGAAATAGCTACATAATAATTACTTTAATCAGACGAATTTGTCACCGATTTATGACAAATGTAATGAAGGTTTATCGAAAAAGACTGAATCTTATAGTTATGATTTTTTGAAAAATTATTTAGAAATAATGTGAATGTTATAATGATGCTTCTACTATTCCTTTATAAGAAATAAATTAATTACGAGTAAAAAGTTTTTTAAATTACCGAAACATATTTTTTTTGTTTCAGCTATTCGGATTGGCATTTTCGTGTGCATTGTTCATGATGATTGTTTAGAGCGGTAGATGAAATGTACAGATAAGCAAAGAGTTCAACGCCTTGGATAACAATTTTTAAATAGCCATTTAAGTAGGGAAACAAAGGTTATATAAATTATTTTCAACGCATTTGCCATTATCAACCGAATTGTCGCTGTCAATTATTCAGCGACAGTATAATAATATATATATATATATATATATATATATATATATATAATGTAGGTATTTATAATATCATCGACGTGAGTCTGTGACAAAATAATAAAAATTTGACGGCAATTTAATTTGCATAAAAATAAATAGACACATAATATTATATACTATTAAGTTAATTAATTTACGTTAAAAACGAAAGAAAAACAATGGGTATACGATACAAGTGGTTGATGTATATATAATAAAGGTACTAAACCTAAACATGTCATAGGCGTACGCAAAAAAAAGATCATTTTTCGGGGTAGGTACCAATGCAAAACGAGCCCCTTGGACGTGATTTTAAGCTTTTAAAATTCTGGTAGAATAATATGTACCTACAAATATTTTATAAAACGTTTAATTTAAAAATTAACTTACTTTACTTTTCTTAATAAAAATTAAAACCTTAAACCACACTCTATAAGTGGAATATAATATTATGATATAATATATTTGGTTAAGATTAGGTAACCGTGTTCTGTGTTAAAATAAAATAATCTCTATTGAATAATAACACTAAAACAGTGATATAACTAATAACTGAAAACACGCAATGCGACTTGTAAGCATACAGAGTAAAGTCTTAGATAATAATATGCTTATAAGACAAATGTTCAAAATATACAAAAACCAATTACTTTTCTAGTCGCACGTAAAGCACATAAACACGTTATCAGTCATACCTTCACTGACAATATCAGAATCACACAGTAGAACATGCGTTTTGACATTTTTTGTATGATTTCAATAATCAGTAAGGTGATCACTTTATTCCACTTGTTTTACTTATTTTAATCTATATAGTTCGGATATAGTATGGACTTCGACATCCCAAGTTCTAACTCTATTAATCTCCATTAAATTGTGTTTGTACTTGAAGACAAAAATGCATAATAATTTTTATTTCTCTATACTAGGTACCTACACTCAGCTGCGCACGCCTAAACGCATAAAATAATATATTATTATTATTATTATAATATATAGGTACATACTTCCCTAATAGTATGGCGTATGGTAACTAAGATTTAAAAATGAATATTGTTCATCATAAAATAATCTGAATTTCGCTCGGTGTTCATATTATAATATAACTATAATACGTTACCTACCCATTTGTATACAAATCGGCTAGGTAGGTATCAATAGTTTTTTTTTACACAGGCCAAAATGGTACTCACTTGCCATTTCGGCAACTAAGTATACATTATAAGCACAAATTCAATGGCGATCCACGTTTAACTAGCTACACTTGTCTAATGCTGTAGTAGATTTTTGTGGTTTTTGAAGAGAAGAAATGTAATTAAACTAAAAACGTTTTGCTCCATTTCCAGTGACCACATCTTGCCCATTCACATTAGATACATAGGTATCTATCAATTATAATTTATAATCAAGTAATATATTTATTATAGGTTTATTATCACTTTAGTAATACCTCTGGCAGCATCATTGTTCTTTTACAAAATATTTATTATAATATTATTCTATTTTAGTACCTAATATATAATTTGCATTTATGACTTATCTATGTTTAGTGTCTTGGATATAATTGTATTAATTATGTTTACGAGTAAGATATCGTATAGGTACCTATTGTTTTTATATGGGTACTTATCTAAGTAATAATTAATATACATTTTATAAATTATAATTTTATATACCGGTGTAGTAAGAGGTTTAGCCGTAAGCTATGCATGTATTAATTATTTGTATATATTATAATCCCAATTTATGACGTTTTATTCAATTAATATTTTTGTGCAACTTAAATATTTTTACATCATCGCGGAGCAAAACTATGTATTTCATCCGTAGTTAAATGCCTAATCAACACACAATAGATTGTAATTGTCAAATATCAGTAGTCAGTACACTATATTTTATCATGTCTATATGTATACCTACCTAAAATAGGTAATGTTGTTATTCATTCTTGTAATTTGTAAATTATTTATTAGTTATAACTTATAACATAAAATTTAAATAAATGATATATTATATATTATATTTATATATATATAAAACATACAAAAAATATTAAGTGTTTTAATTTTTATTTATATTGACAACAGCATAGGCGCAAATAGCGTTTGCGATTTAGGGGGGCTAAAGTTTTATTTTGATAATATTGAATAAGTTTAAAACAAAATGTAGGACATTTTTAGGGGGGCTATGGACATTTTTGGGAGGCATAGCCACTGAAGCCCCCCTATTTGTGACTATGGACATCCATGTCTTGTATAATAATATGACTATCTCAGCAAAACCAAATCATTAGGTAGCCTGACACCATGATTTATGTATACTGTATAGGTACAGCCATATTATTATTATATTATTATGTCTGTTTATTGTTTTTAGAAATGTTTAACTTTTTTTTATAAAATTAAAACAACGATACAAAAGGTAAAACCCTTATATTGACCCCTCCTCATGGTGTGTATCTATTATAATTAATGCTGTAATTATTGTGAGGGACAACATTTATTAGTTCTTATATTTTTGTCAATTATATGATTATAATTATAATGTATGGTTTATATTATTGTTATTTACATTTAGAAATTGGAAATTAATTAGAACAAATCCACCAAGTCTCTAAATCATCTCAATATACAAAAATAATGTATGGACCTATGGAACAAATTTCTAGAAAAAAAATATTAAATAGGGACAGTATAGTTGTGTACAGCTTAGTATATTTTGAGAGTGGTTGGACTAAACTCTAAAATTACTGTATTCATCACTTTTTTTGGTTTTGCATGCCATATTTACGAATTCTCAATTACTATGGATCAGACAAATCTGAATAGGTCAAAACTAATAATTTAAAGTTCTTCAGAGAACTCCGGAGCCCATTGATTTTGGAGGCCCATCTTTATTCCCAATATATATTATTTTAACGCGTCCAATACAGTTTAAAAAAAGGTGCTCTGCTGTACAGTTGATTACAAGTGGGTCACTGTATAATGGATGGTATTAAATTTGAATTCAATCATATAGTATCATTGTATAAGAAAAACGATTCTGAGCGGAGACGGTATGTCAGTCTAGGTATAAGACATATTATATATATACTTATCTATATATACTATCTATTATACTATCTATATATATATATTATACTTATCTATATATACTTATCTATGGTATTAAAAAAAAATGTACCCATAATATATTCCAATTTAATCATATCACAATATCCATTAGGTACTTATAACACGTTATACATCAATAACAAACCCTGATACTATCTTAGATATATAATAGTGTACTTTAGAAGTTTAAAGTTCAAGTTCAATAATATAATACAAACACAACAAAATAACTAAAATAGTTATTCTAGGTTTTTTTTTTATGAAAATCCATCAAATCATGTAACTAATTAACATATTATTGTGAGGGGGGTTATATTATAGTTAAAAACTGTATATAATACTAATCCCCATGTATAAAAATTATATAAAAAAATATATAAAAAAAAAAATTATAATAATAAAATGTTTAATTTAATTATCTCAAACAGGTTTTAATGCTTTAAAAGGCTTATAATGAAGATTATCTACTAAAATTATTATAATTTACATGAAGATGTTATGTATATTTATAAAACTGTCTTAACATTTATTAAGTACGATTACAGTTTGTCATCAACCCTCTAACAACTTACTTATCAGTATGTAGTGAATTGAATAATTGATAGTAAAAAGTGCTCACCATTGATAAAAAGAATGACCACAAGTGTGTTCCCTGTAACTTTAGGTAAAATCTCAACTACATAAATATACAAATGTTGAAAGATATAAGATTGATAGTATAAGTAATATTTGTATGCATTAATATGATTGGCAAACAATAAAGTTAGCAATTGTTAATAGCTGTGGGGCCATGTGGCCCCACGTTTCAATTTCTAATATGGGGCCCATACTTAAATAAACTAATATAAGAATTAAGAACCTATCCTAATAAATTTTAATTTTTTAATCAAAATAAAAATTTCTGAGGAATCAAGCATAATCAAGTCCTCATATGATTTTGTATTAAAAATACAAATCTGACATCAATGATCAATTTAGTCTTTACCCGACAAGTTTTATCAACTACAACAATAATTGGTCTAAAACAATGTGATATCAGAGACTTAATAAATTTGATTGTTCAAAATGACATGGCATGTAGTTTTCCAGATGTGTGAACTGCATGTTTAATATTTCTTACAATTACGGTAACTGTGGCCTCGGCTGAGAGGTCATTTTCAAAATTGAAACTCATAAGAAATTATTTAAGAAACTCGATGTCTCAAAATAGACTTAGTAATAATGAAAATTCTCAATATAGAAAGAATTAGAACTGATGAACTAGTTACAGAAAAAATAATTGACAATTTCGCTTAAGGCTAAAGGCCAGAAAAAAAAATGTTGTGTTAAAATTAATAAAAAAAAATTTATACTGATGACTGATTTGTATTGCTTTTTTATATTTGTTTAAATTAATATTAATGGAAATATTGGGCCAAAGGCGCACATAGGGGGGTTAAGAAAAAATCATCTTTGGTCATATTCACAATTTTAAGTGGTTTGGTTTTCCTAGGAGACAAAATAACAGTTTTCCAATCATCAAATATATGTATGTCTGGATGGAATTTTTTTTTGCTTTACAATTATACCAAAATCTTGTTCACAAGGTAAAAATGAGTGGCCGCTTACTAAAAACTTATGATCAATTTCATTATCAGATAGTGATGTATTAGTTACTATATTGTTACAAATGGTAGCCATTTTTATATATCTAAGAGAAGATACATACGTTTTTACATAG